TAAAATTGTTCTGTTAAAAACTGTTTTCAAAATAATAGGCTAAGCTAAGTGAATAAAAATATTTGTTTCAAATAAAAAGAAGAAACAGGATCTTTGTAAATTTTGTCAATCCTTATTCTGTCAACCATTTACACAATCTTGTTAGGTTTGCGCTAACCCGCTTCTCTTCAATATGTCCTGTGAATATCAAATTCTCCCAGCCTCTTTTCCTCAGGTATTTAAACTCTATATTTCCGATTCTAAGTATAAGTATCTTTATTGTTTTTGTTTTCCTTAAATCTTTGTCGTTGTTCAGATGTTCGGTCCATGGTAACCTCAGCATACTTCTTTATAAAAACATTTCTCTTGATTCAAGATTTTTTTTTAACTCCTCAAAGTTTATAATAAAATAAAATTGTTTTATTTTGTGACTGGGTTACATTTGTTCATTTTTTCTGTTTGTTTGTTTTTTTTTCTTTTTTTTTTTTCATGCTCGTTAATTCATAAATCTCGAAGGATTGTTTTATAATAATTCTGAATTCATTAATTTAATCATTTTTTATATGTTTCATTTTATGATGTTATCGCTTTCTTCGTTCTTTTTCGTCATTGTTCGTTCTTTTTCGTCATTGTTCGTTATTTTTCGTAATTCTTCGTTCTTTTTCGTCATTCTCCGTTTTTCTTCCTTTTTTATTTCATTTTTCTTCCTGTACTTTCTTTCGGCCGTTCGTCTATCTTCTTTCTTTCTTCATTTTACCTTTTTATTTATTTCGGTTTCTATTTAGTTTGGTTTATCTCTTGATATGGATATGCAGATAGTGTAACAGTTAGTGAGTCGTAAAGCGAAATCAACGCGCCAAGTTCGAATTCTGGCCGAGTTTGAGGCATTAAATTTCAAATAAATGTCCCCGGGTAAATAGTAATACAGTCTACGTTCTCTTTTCTTGAGGTGGAAATCAGCAGAATTTAAAGTCTGAATTCAAAACGGTCTAGAAGATGGTCTTCGTCATTTTATATTTCCCTAGACAAACCTTTCTAACATAGCCTCAGTAAACATTGTGCACCTAGGAGAATCTCTTTCTTTTTCATTTAGCTGAATTTCTTTCTTTTTGTCTTTCCCTTTTCTCGTGCTATAGGATATTTTTCACATTTTTTTTTATTTACTTCAGTTCTTTCTTTTTTCAGTTATTTTCTTTTTTTTCTGTGATATTATTTTTTACTTATACTTTCTATTTTTGTTAACATTCGTTCTTCTTCTTCTTCTTGCCTTTTCTCGGCTGTTTCTACTTATATAATGAGGTATTGCCATATTCACGACGTTTCGGCCGTTTTACGCACATGAGGTAACTGATACTTAGACATCCAGAAGAGACATGGCACGTGGAACTAGAACAATCTACTTCGGAAGACGAAATAAAGGTTTCGGTTCGAAAATTCAATCATCTGAAGATGGCAGAAGCGTACAACGGCCTTTTCTCTGCTCTTGTTCATTTTTCTTTCTTCACTGTTATTTGAACTTTCCTTCTTCTTCTTCTTCTTCTTCTTCTTCTTCTTCTTCTACTACTTCTACTACTACTACTACTACTACTTCTTCCTCTTCTTCTACTACTTCTTCTTTTTCTATCTGTATTCTTTCCTTTTGTTTCTTTTTTGTTTTTTTTTTATTCTTCTTATCCTTTCTTTTCTTTCTCTTTTCTCCGATTTCCTTTTTAATTCCTTCACATCTTTCTAGATATTCGCTCAACATCTTCCTTTCTTATTCTTCTTTGAATTCATCTTTACATTCTTCAACTTTTATTGTATTTTAACCGTAACTTCCGTGTATAATACGCAATTTTTTCTAAAAAGTAAGCAAAATCAGCTACAAAAAATCTTTAAAAAATTGCCCTAAAGATGAATAAGAATTATCATAAAACTAAATTAAAACTATTATTCCACGTTTAAAAACAATTTTTAAATAAATAAATATAAATCCGATTTTAACTCATTCAAATAGCTATTTCAACCAGCAAATCCCATGTTGGCATTATCAACTCAGAAGTTGGAAATAAAAAACATAGAACGTGTTGGTCGATATAGCGATTCGAATGAGGTAAATTTGGATTTATAATCTATGTAATTAATATATATGATTACTGTAGCAAAATTTTTTGACATTCGTTGCAAAATTTTTCAGAGTATTTTTTGTAAATTAATTCCATTCTATTTTCAATGACTCTAAGAGTTCTTTTTCATTTTTCTTTCATCCCATGCTGCGCGTGGCTTCAAACCTGTGAACTCTAGTGTGTATATATATATATATATATATATATATATTCAGTAAATTTTCAAAAGTTCAGTTGACTCATCTGATTGACCGACTCAGAGGTTTCGTCAGAGCTAGATATTTGATAAATCGATTGAAATTATTGAGATCTCATATTTATCAAGATAAAAAAACGCGAATCGATCACTTACAAATTTAAAATTTGACTAATTTACCATCTTTAATATATAGATTTCCCATTTCTTTCAGTCAGCTTAATTTTATAATTATTATGATTCGTTATTTAACGTGTAATTGGAATTTATATTTTCTATGATAATTCGAATTAAAAACATTATCAATATTAAAATATGATCTGTAATAATACGTTAATAATGAAGGTAATGCTAAATCTCCTGGTTGATTTTTTTTTTTATTAATTTTATAACATTTCTAATAAATCTTTTGGTTCGTAATTAGAAACCTATCTTCCCATATCTAAGCAATTTCAGTTAACATTAGCAGTTTTAAAAGTGTTTTTTTTATTGTTTTTATGTCATTAGATTTTATTTTTAATATCGCATTTCGTGGGTTGCATTTCATTGCGTATCGCGTATTCTCGAGATATTGAGCATAAAAATAAAGCCAAGATAAACAAAATTACATACAACCTCGGACCTAATATAATAAATATATTTCACTAGAGTAAAATAAAAAAATGAGAGATTTGAATATGCGAAACGCGATATTTAAAAGTTAAACTGATATGACAAACTTTTTAAAAAAATTCTGGTATCATTCGAACGTGCTTAGATATGGGAACATGCATTTATAAATACGAACCCGAAATAATAGAAATTATTAAAAATAATGAAAAGGTAAATAAAAACTAATCAACATGGATTTTTATTTTATTTTAAGGAAATGTGCATATATATATATATATATGTGTGTGTGTGTGTGTGTGCGTGTGTGCATAAGTGAACATAGAAGTCAACATTAGAGTCTGTTTCATGCTAGAGGCAATCGTCAGACCTGACGATTGCATCTAGCATGAAACAGACTGTCGCCTCTAATGTTGACTTCTATGTTCACTTTTATCTTTACACACGCAGTATCTCTGATATTGAGCACTTTATCCCATAAATATATATATATATGTATGTATTTATATATATATATGTATGTATACATATGTATGTGTATATATATATATATGTATGTATATATATATGTATATATATGTATGTATAAATATATATATATATATATATATATATATATATATATATATGTGTGTGTGTGTGTGTGTATATATATATATATATATATATATATATATATATATATATATATATATAGTGGACTCTTACGTGGCTGATGACAAATGAGGGCTCAGTAAAATTAAGAGATGCTCAACTGTTAATGACACGCATGCGTCTCCCAAGGTCTGCAGTTGTTTTGCAAACTTTTGTTGCATTTTGTTCGTGTGGGTAGTAAGGCCGGCTTTACTGCCTGAGACAAAACCACAGTAGCAGCTAAGGCTACCTCTAAGAGAAGAAGAATGCAGCCATCTTTCTTTAATATTTGCACGTAGTTGATTCAGATGTTCGAGTCGGGCTCGCTCAAATCTTTTTATAAATGAGTAGCAGAATTCCTTCTGAGACTTTGTTTTCCCAGGAAGAAAAGGGAATTCTGTATCGCTTCATATTGGAGTGACTTCCAGTTGACCTGCTTTTTAGAAGCTGCAGAAACAGATATTTTGTAAGTCGATTATCGCTCCTACGAGAAAGATGTCCTGGCCACCGGAGTTGGATTTTAATTAGGATGGCTTCAATATCCATCATGTTGTACACACACACATACATAAACACACACGCATAAATATATATATATATATATATATATATATATATATATATATATATATATATTTTGGTTGATAGATGTGAGTTTGATATCGTCAGACAAACTGATTAAATATACACAGTCACCAAAAACAAACAAATAACCAGCTTTAAATATAACAAATAAAGCCCTATTTTTCTTTTTTTTAATAAAAAAAAAAAAAATTTAAAATAAATATAAATAATAATAATACCTATATAATTTTACATATACACGCATATACATATGCGAGGAAATATTTTCCAGCTGGAAAATACATATGACATGTACACATCAACGGACAAACTTCCAATGTTTAGATTTTAACATTTCAACATACAAATGCGTATGTATAGGATATAACACCACCTGTATTTACATGTGTCATCGGAAACTGCCCACATATGTTTATATATGTATGAGTCCCGACGGACGACCAAGTGTGTATATGTGTCCATACATCGATGTTTGCGTTAGAACGAAATTTCCCCACCACTTCCACAATAACACCAATACATACATAAACCCAAATTTTTAAACATTAATCAGTTTGTCACGATCGCTAAAAAAACCCAGGGTATATATCCATATATATCTCTGATATTGATTTCTAATAAATGCTATAATATATAAATAATTATATATATATATTTGTTTATATTTATATACCTTTTTTCATATATATATATATATATATATATATATATATATATATATATATATATATATATGAACCTCTTTATAAGCGAGTTGGAATCATATTTTTATATATATATATATATATATATATATATATATATATATATATATATATATTAAAAAAAAACAAAAACTGTTAATGGAAACAATGGACAACATATCAAAATCTAAACCTCTTATCCAGATACAGTCACGAATAAGAACGACAATACTGAAAAAAAAAAAAAAAGGCCTAAAAACTAAGCCTACATACTGAGTAAAATGCTCGAAACCTAGATTGCCTCGACAGAGCAAAAAACAACGTTACATCTTATGAAAGGATGGCTCTAGTCGTAACTCGAACTACACGCTCACGCGATCTTCAGTATATGAACAAAAATTGCATCTTTGAAGAAATGCTTTAAAACCGAATAAAAAGTAAAGAAGGAATTGTAGAAGAGATAACCAATTCAAATTAGAATTTGTAAACGAGACTTTGAAAGCAAATAAAATATTGTGCCGTTTACTTAACTCATTTTTCCGTATACATTGCCTTCTTGTTACGCCATCATATGTTATCTCCAATAATTCTATACAATTACAAGCCAAACAACTCATAAAAGACGAACAGAAATAGAGAATAAAAATTATTGCTATTCCGATTCGTTTATTCTTTAAAATCGGGTCGTTTCTTTTTTCCCTATTTTTTATACTTCAACATTAACAATCGGTTTCATATAATCGCATTTGATTATAAAATTGGCAAACGATTATTCCGGAATATCTACGCGGAATAATCGAATGTTGTTCGTTATTATCCGATACAATGGCGATTGTCGGAATAATGTTTGTTTTTTTTTAGAAATTTAATAAAGAGTATTTATTCTTTCGAGATTTATTGAATCTTCTATTTATCTATAATCGTATTCGGTTATTCTTTTTTCTCCTGTGGATTGTAATTTTTGTTGATGCTAAATGTAAACGGCCATTTGATTTATTTGGCCAGGTTTTTATATACGTGTGTAAAATGTTGGTGAAGTCTAGTGTTAGATTTTCCAATTACTTACTTGAAAACGTTTTATTCGCTTTTTGAGATTTGCCTATTTTCGCATGCATATTTATCTGTTTACTTAAAATAAACTGTATGTGCTAAAGATGCGCACACCCTCCCATACATACATACATACATACATACATACATACATATATATATATATATATATATATATATATATATATATATATATATATTAACTTACCTTTCCTCTTCCTTTGTTTCTGTGTAATTTTGAATATACTTGTCTCTTTTTTGCCTTTCTTTTCTTTCTATTTTGTTCTAGTTTCTATTTTTTTCTATTCTATCTACCAAGATGGTAATAGAGTTAATTTCTTATACTTTATTTTGCCTTTCTTTCCTTTCCTCTCCCTTTTTTATTGATTTCTTAGTTTCTTTCTTCTTTTTTTCTTTAAAAAAAGAAGAAAGAAACTAAGAAAAAATCATTTTTCGCCGCGTACGGAAAATTTTCCAAAAACGGAAAATGAAGTGATGTTTCATAAATTGAAATTTTAAATAGAATCGTTTATTGCCATCGTCGTTAACTGCCTGATGAAACATTGTTTGTTAAACGTCGTAGTAGTACCTTACATGTTCTAATGTAACAGTGTTTCATAAATATTTATTGCTCTACTCCCTCTACTCCCTGTTTTAAATTAATGTTTGGTACGTTGAAAATTTATTCTTGTTTCATTAAAAAAAGAAAGGCGATAGACAAAAAATACTACAAAAAGGTTAATATTTTATATATATATTTTTATATATATATATATTCGAACAAGAGATAGACAAGGTTCTTTTTTTTATATAATTTTTTTTTTTTTGGATAAAGTGATAAAGTGTAAGAACTGTCCAAATGTTTTATATTTCCGAGCGCTTTCGTCTATACCTTTAGCGATTATCAAGGATGATTCGATTTTTCAGCTTAATTGAGTGTGTGCGTTATGTGTATGTCTTAGTATGTGGTAGGGATGTTTTTAATTTTCGAATACGGTTAGCACATTGTGGCTTTGTTTGTAGTTAATATTGTTAAGAGTTGGCTTTTTCTTTTTTATTTTTAAAGCTTCCATTATCTTTAGTCTTTTTTTGCAATTGGATGCAATTAATATATTTGTGTTTTCTACTAGTATGTTTCTAATGGAGCCTGGTAAGTTTGCGTGTGTGTTTAAATGGTTCTAATGGAGCTGTGACCAGATAGGTGTAACGTAAGACGTCTGGGTAAGCATGTGGTTGCGTAACCGATGTAATTATTTATGAGTCCGGTTTGATCAGGAACACAGTTCCTTAAGGGGCATTTGAACTCATAGATAATGTTCGTTCTTTGTAATTTTGACTTAGTTGGTGTGTTGTTATTTTTGAGGATAACGTTAGCTGTCTTAAATCTTTTATAATAGATAATAAATTTAATTTTTTTATTCGGATCAATTGGAGTAGTATAATTCTTTATGATATGCCTTAGAGAAGATTCGTCTTGTTTGTAATTAATATGCATTTGGTTTTTGTAACAAATGTGTATGTGATTTTTGGCTGTGTGTTCAGTATCGTTATTACTTGCTTTGGGGAGAAATAGTCTAATTTGGTGGTCTATAAGGTGGTTAGGGAAGCCGTAGTAACTTGTCTGTCGTTCTTAATGAAACATGCATAAAGGAAGGATTACTGCCTAAATATTCAACTCTCTCTCTCTCTCTCTCTCTCTATATATATATATATATATATATATATATATATATATATGGGGCGACAGGTAAATTTTCTCCATTTTATATTTTTAAGTGATATCCGTTAAAAGCGTGTCGTCTGGATTTTTTTTAAATTTTATTGTTAACGGCAAAAATTCTTACGACATTTTTTTCCTTCGTATATTTAAAGATTTTGGGGGGTGTTTAGGTTAGAATACTTTTTATTTAATTACGATTTGAAAAATGTTTACTTTTAATTTTTAATATACTATATTTCTTTTAAGAACAATTAAATGTAATTAGAATCCCTTACAGTTTGTAGAATTATTATCACATCAAGTATATTACGATTTTTAAAAATTTTATATTTAAATAATAGATGTTAGATTTCATTGAAAAATACATCCCTACCCACTACCAAAACGTAGCAATAACTGATACATTAAAATATAGACATAATGAACACCCAGACACCCCTCGTCTAGTAAACTGGATCCATCTGTATCCTTGGAAACATGAATTATGATTTTAGCTGTGTCTTTAAAACCCAGTAATTTTAAAAGTTACACCAAAATTCGCTTGAAGATGAAATGGAACTAATGTCTTTAATTTAATTACAAAATTAAATTCGGGGCTTTTAGCTTCCATTTTTGAAACATGGTTAGAACTGTGTAGCGGAAAAAACCATATTTTAAATGAATTAATTTATAATATTAATGCTCTGTAAATTTACATTGAGCACTTTTTTGTAAAAAATAAAAATATCTATAAGAACACCGAATTATATATCTTACTGTTCTTTCTTTTTATTTACATATATATATATATATATATATATATATATATATATATATATATATATCAGTAGTGACTTGTTCAATCCTCACTAGATGTTCCATACTTTCGGCTTTGCAATTGGAAGATCTCAGCAGATCTATTTTCATAGCACTGCCAAAGAAACCAGGCCAAACGAATGTGAACTCCACCGAACAATCAGCCTAATGAGTCACGTAATAAAACGTAACAAAAATAATTGTGCACGCATCAGAATCAGGCCAAAGACAGGACAAAAACAGTGCTGGTTCGTTAAAAGACATCAGAACAAGGAACTCGATATTCATACCGAGAATGTTATCAGAAAGAGCAATACAAATGCAGAAGGAAATGTGCCTAGGAAAAGGCCTTCGACAAAGTGCACCACAAGGATCTGTTGTAACTGCTCAGCAACCTTGATATATTCGGGAAAGAAATTAGAATAATCAAGAACCTTTACTGGCAGCAAACAGCATGCGTGCGCATAGGGAATGAGTTCAGCGAATATATAAAAATAAAAAGGGGCGTAAGGCAAGGAGGTATCTTTTCACCAGACCTATTCAACCTCTACAGCGGGGCAATTCTGAGAGAATTGGATTTCCTGCTAATATTCAGCATTGACGGCTTAACAACATATGATAAGCAGATGACACAGTACTGATATCAGACACGGAAAAGAAACTACAAAACTACAAAACCTCCTACAGAAAGTAACGAATGTGAAAATACATATATATATATATATATATGTATGTATATATATATATGCGTAAATATATATGTGTGCGTATGTGTGTGTGTAAGAATCTTTCCAATAATAACTTTTTATGAATAGGTGTTTATAATTCTCCACGCACGCACATCATCATAGATAGATAGAACAGAGTGATATATATATATATATATATATATATATATATATATATATATATATATATATATGTATGTATATGAACATTGAGATAGATAGATAGATAGATAGATAGATAGATAGATAAATAGATACCTGGGAAGTGTTTTGACAGAGGACGGCAAGTGCGACATTGAGACCCGTAAATGTATTAGAATGGTCAAGGACCCATTCCAAAACTGGGCAGAATATTCCGAGACAGCAGGATTTCTTTGGTAACATCTGTCCTCCTTTAAGGCAGCGAATGTTGGACAGTCTCTTCAAAGATGAAGAAATGACTAAAGGCGACAGATATGTGCTTCTACATACGGATGATAAGGATATCATTGACCGAGCGTGTGAGCAACGATGAGGTCTTAAAGAGGAGGCAAACAAGAAGTAGGTTTATACATAACCTCAGGATGAGGCAGCTGCAGTTTCTGGGACACTTGATGAGGTAGGAGGGTCTGGAGAATCTGATGCTCACAGGTCGAATAGAGGGCAAGAGGGACAAGGGAAAACAACGCGTGACTAAACTAGGTAATCCGCATGAGTAGAACCAAGGAGGATGATATCCGGAGAGCTCAATGTAAAATTCAGAGCAGATATGTTTGAATAAAAACAGACCACTTTAAGGTTCCATGTCATAAGTTATTTCACCACAACCCTTTTAAAGGGCTCTGGATCATCAGACTTTATTTCCAAAGGTTGAAATGAAAATAATTTTTCATTTCATTTCAACCTTTGCAAGAGAAGTCTGATGATTCAAAGCCCTGTTAAAGGGGTTGTGGTGAAATAACTTATTACATGGAACCTTAAAGTGGTCTGTTTTTATTATATATATATATATATATATATATATATATATATATGTGTGTGTGTGTGTGTGTGTAAGGAGCCACGGTGGAGTAATGGATAGCGGCTTGGATTGAGGAATCGGAATCTATTATATTCACTTACGTGCTAATACGTGGAATCCTCCTCTTCTTCTCCCTCCAGTCATGGGTAAATAGGATAGTCTGGGCTCTATAGCCTTGGATGGCAACTAGTTTAGGAGAAGGACAACTCGGAATTCAAAAACCCGGATGGACGGCACTTTGTGCTACCTTTCGGTAGCCGTGCAGGTACCAAACCGTATTGATTTATCCTCTCCTTTGGACTCTGCTAGCAAGGCCGAGGCGGGGGGAATAGACTTCTGGGCAGCCCCTATTTCTCTATATATCCCGCTCAAGCTCGGAGTATAAGTATGTATATATATGCGTAAATATATATGTGTGTGTAAGAATCTTTCCAATAATAATTTTTTATGAATAGGTGTTTATAATTCTTCACGCACGCACATCATCAAAGATAGATAGAACAGAGTGATATATATATATATATATATATATATATATATATATATATATATATATATATATATATATGAACATTGAGATAGATAGATAGATAGATAGATAGATAGATAGATGAATATGAACAGACTGAGATAGATAGATAGATAGATAGATGATAGATAGATAGATAGATAGATAGATGATATGAACAGACTGAGATAGATATGAACAGACTGAGATAGATAGATAGATAGATAGATAGATAGATAGATAGATAGATAGATGAATATGAACAGACTGAGATAGATATGAATGTTAGATCGATGATAGATAGATAGATAGATAGAACAGACTGAGATAGATAGATAGATAGATAGATAGATAATAGATAGATAGATAGATGAGATAGATAGATAGATAAATAGATGACTGATAGATAGATAGATAGATAGATGGAGATAGATGAATGGATATGAACAGACTGAGATAGATAGATAGATAGATAGATATAGATAGATAGATATATGAACAGACTGAGATAGATAGATAGATAGATAGATAGATAGATGAATAGATAGACTGAGATAGATATGAATATGATAGACTGGATAGATAGATAGATAGATGGATGATAGATAGATAGATAGATATGAACAGACTGAGATAATGGATAGATGGATGAGATAACAGACTGAGATAGATAGATAGAGATAGATAGATAGATAGATAGATAGATAGATATGAACAGACTGAGATAGAGATAATAGTTAGATCGATAGATAGATGAGAACAGACTGAGATAGATAGATAGATAGATAGATAGATATGAACAGACTGAGATAGATAACCAAGAAGCGTAGACATGAACAAAACTAGATAGATATTCCAATCTTTTGAAGATATGTTCAGTATCTCTACAGTGTTGTGAAAAAGTAAATGAATTCCTAAGATAATGTTTTGGAATGTATATTCCCAGCGTGCGACACATTTTTATAAATGAAAAGCTTTTGATATGATGGCATTGCAATCAAGAAATAGTCGTCCGCAAAAAAAAAAAAAAACCTGCAAGATCAAGTAGACATCAGGTTCGGTAATCTCAGGCGAATTTTACTGTGAAAAATTGAGTTTCTTCAAAGCTGCTTGGCTAATCAAAATGCATATGTCTACATTAGGATGAAATCTGAAAGATGACGGACTTCAGGGTAGAATGCTTGTAAAAAAAAACACTACTTACGAAAAAGCACAAACAAGATCGGCTCAACTATGCTAAAATTTATATTAATAAGCTAGAAATATTCTGGCAAAAGGTTTTATCGTTGTGTGAGATCAAACTATAGATTTCTGAGAGAACGATAGGCAGTATGTCAGGCAAGTTCCAAAAACGCCTTTTGAAGAGAAGAATTTGATGCCAACCATTAAACATGTGGGTGACTGCATTATAATTTAGGGGTGTTTTGCTCAGCGGTACAAGGAATCCACCATTTGTCCAACGTCTTTAGTATCGATGGATCTCGTATACGCGTTACACTTCAGGTCGACGATGAATTTAGAATCGTAATAGGCGTTCAAGGCAAGACGTGTCTTTGTAAGGGTATCCGAACATGGCAATACAATGAAATTTTGTGGGGGTTCAGTAATGTGATGCTGAGACGTTTCTAGTTTCGTTTGTGAGGGACTGAAGGTGACCAGCGGGATTTTCCATCGTTATGATGTTCAAGCTAGGTCAGAGGGGAGACTATATTTTGGGGTAACTAGATTTTTGAGGTGCACCCGGATATAGACGTATTATTTGCATAAATGTAAAGACTGCTCTACCATAATGGGAGCGAAAACTTCTTTTTAAAAGTAAATGCTAGAAATGCAGATTTTTTATTCCATTTGTTCTTTCTCTTATTTGGATATTTCGCTCCCATTAAGATAGAGCACTCTTTACATTTATTTTTTTATATTAGCATGGAAAGGAATAACTTTGACAATCGCCCGAGGAAGTACAATCATAATATTGAAACATGAAAGCTTTTGTGTAGCGATTTCAAAATGTCTTTATTATAATCTCTTTTAATAAAATATTAAATATATATATATATATATATATATATATATATATATATATATATATATATATATACAGTCCCCAAAATAATGTATACACTCTTTAAATATTAATAGTTAATACATTACCGTGATGTGAGAACTTATATGGATGAAAATAAGCAAATTATATGGATTGGAAGAAGATGGACAATTGAATACCCACCTTCATCACCAGATTTGACACCCTTGGATTTCTTTTTGTGGGGGTTTCTAAAAGACAATGTTTACAGCAGGAAACCTGAAACAATTTCTGAAATGAGAGAAGCAATTGAAGAAGAATGTGCTCGAATACCAGAGGAACTGATACTGGACGTTTGTAGGCCTATTTCTTCAAGATATGAAAAGTGTATTGAACAGAACGGCAACCAGTTTGAGGACTTAATGTGAACTCATAATTATATGAACATTCTGCCATTGCCCCAAGTTGCTTTTATCTTATTAAAGTTAATTTATTATGTTTCTTGTATATTTTTTAGTCAAAATACATAATTGAAGTTATAACGATTCAAACATTATTGTGGGTCATCCTATATATACGGGATGTCCATTAGGTTCGCGTGCACTTTAAAAAATTCATAACTTTATTTGTATTTGCGATAGAAATAATTTGTAAATTTTTAAAGTGCACACGAACTTTATAGACATATATATATATATATATATATATATATATATATATATATATATATATGAAGAAAATATATACTGAAAAAAACAAACAAAAATCCTTATATACAATTATGCTGTTTTAATGTTAATATTTCAGCATCGGACGTTTCGGTCTAATAAACCATCTTCAGGACATATTCATAAATTATAACATTATCAATACAACATGACAAAGACGACGTTGACATATTAACATTAAAACAGCATAATTGTATATAAGGATTTTTGTTTGTTTTTTCAGTATATATTTTTCTTCATACTGTCGGATTTATATTTGCTTATATATATATATATATATATATATATATATATATATATATATAGATAGATAGATAGATAGATAGAGAGAGAGAGAGAGAGAGAGAGATAATATTAGTGGAAAATATACATACATATACAAAATATATATAAAAAAAAATACCCATACATGTATATTTTCAGAAAAAAATTTTCCAAGAGGAAGAATCCAGGTAGAACTCAATGTCTAGGACAGAGTAAGGATATAATAAAAGGCTTAAACACTAATATTCCATGGTCATATGACCATGGAATATTAGTGTTTAAGCTTTTTATTTATATATATATATATATATATATATATATATATATATATATATATATATATATATATATATATATATCGTGGCTGTCCTCTCGGTTTCGAGCGTGACCACCGCCTTTATTTCATGTCCTCAACCCCCCCCTCCCTCCCTCAAATTCTCTGTATTCGCAGGTGACTCTTCAGGCCAGCGAAACTGCGACAAATTTTGTCACAGAATTGGCATACCCGATCAGTTTTGTTTACAGTGACATTATTCGGGTGCACACTAGGTTTTGCACATTTACGCAAATGGCTTTTGAAGCCGGCAAAAGATAGGCACAATTTTCTGCATATGTCACAATTACCGTGTTGAATTTGTGGACCCGGTGCTGGACCCTGTTTGCCTTTACGAATCAGACGTTTGTAGGCACTGTACTGCATACGGCTATTCTCAAAGGACTCAATGCCTTCGTGAATTAGTTTCCGCCACTTACTTCTATCCAAAGCCATTTTTCCCATTGGGGTACAGATAGTTCAGATTGTTTCAGATAAGATTTTATTTTGTCCTTAAATCTCTTCTTCGGCATTTCTCTTTCCTTCTCACATTTCACCATAGAACAGCCGTTTTGGTAGACGACTGTCATCCATACGCGCAATGTGACCGACCCATCGGAGACAATTTTTCATTACCATCGATTGAATGCTTGGTAGCCCTGCTTTCTCTAAGTAATGGGTACCATTTCATCTTATCATATATTGATGCGAATGAAACTAATATATTTAGACAAAGGAAAATGGTAAATATATGTATATGGAAACTATTCATCAATTTAGTTAATGAGGACTTCAGAGACGGACTGAACAAAATATTTAACAGAAATTCAATAACTGGAGCTGCACAAATAATTCGGGAAATTACTGAAGAAACAACGGTTATGGGGTACTTTTAGACATGGATATGAATGTTCAGTCAATGGTAGGTATCAACAACAACAATAACAACGGTTAAGTAGGATGGAAACCGTTAACAAAGTTTTAGTCGCCACAGAACTTCGTCCACCCCAAGAAAGGATATACAAACATAAAACATCGTTTATTAATAATCAACTTGAAGACTCTGTAAACATTGATAGGCACAGAAGGAGGAAAGTGTCAAACCTCCCGTGGTATAAGATGAAAAAATAGTAACATTATTTAAAGCATCATTGAGATCATTTGGGTCTATACTTGTTGAGATGAAAAGAAATTATTGACAATAATATATATATATATATATATATATATATATATGAGGATTTTGTTTTATTAAATGAATATTTATGCACATTCTTGATTTGCATCGATAACCACTGTCTCTTTGCGAGGGCTTACAGTTGCCACCCGCCTGTATAAATAAGTGCGAACAATCAACCGGCTAATACTTAAGTGGGTGGTGGTCAGTTTAATATAGTGAAAATTATTACGGGTGTTTTGTACGTATTCGTAAGATTCCCCAAAACTTAATTTTCGCTCACACTATATATATATATATATATATATATATATATATATATATATATATATATAATAAATATCTTTTAAGATATGCTATATTTATGGGATAACATCAGATACATATATCAATATTATATATATATATATATATATATATATATATATATATATATATATATATATATATCAGAAATAGAGCGTATGTAAATATATCTGCCCTAACGATTGCGTTTAGCATGAAACTGTCTGCCGCCTGAAGTGTTGACTTTCAATGTTCATATATATATATATATATATATATATATATATATATATATATATATATATATATATATATATATATATATATATATATATATATAGAGAGAGAGAGAGATGTTTGTTTGTGTGTGCTTGTGTTTAAGAATGAATACTGTTGAACTCATATGAATACAAAATATCAAAGGCAGTAAGTTTTGATGTGCGGGTGGTGTAATGGATAACTCCTCGGAATTGCTAATCGGAGAGCCGAGTTCCAATTCCAATCGACGTATTTTTATTCACTTATACCGAAATACCCATAGGAATTCTATGGATCCACCTTTCTATCTGAGATTTGCGTTAATAAGTAAGATCTGTATGACTAATCCATTATTATCTTATAATCTAAAAAACTTTAAATAATCTGTAAAAGCTTGATAAGCCGTAAAAACATCAATCATGTGTAGCGATTGTAGAAATTTCCAAATCCCTGATTCAGCAATCAGTTTATCTATGTACTTGTAAAATATTAAGCACCAATCTGACATTAATATTTACCTGACACTCACCCCTTTCTTTTCTCACAATTTATTTATCGATCGAATAAAGTATGTGAATGCTGTGTGTCTTTGTTTGTGTCAGTGTATGTCTGTGTGTGTTGTGTGCCTGCGTGTGTTATTGTGTGTCTGCGTGTGTTATTGTGTGTCTGCGTGTGTTATTGTGTGTCTGTGTATATTGTGCATAATGTAGAACCATCTTTTTTTCTCAGCAATGTTTTTTTTTTCTTTTGTACCTTGGAGTTATAAATTGATTTCCAAGTGAAAATATACAAAAAAAAAAATCTCCACCGAAAATCCCTGACAAGTTTTTGTATTTCCCACCGTTCGGATTGAACGTAATTTTAGTCAGCCAGTTACAATCTCAAATTGTTTCTTTCTTCTTATTATTACCTTTATTTTTCTTTCTAAATCTACGTTTTTGATTGTTTTATATTTTGATTTATTTAGTTTTCTCTTGGCAAAGAGTTTAGTAAAAATATAGATTGCAATCTGCCATTGCCGAAAGGATTTGTTGTCTAAAAACAAAACACTCACTGACATCAGAATTAATGTTTCTTTTGGAATCATTCAGACTAGAAAAGAAAATTAAAAAGTAGGTTAGATAGATAGATAGATAGATAGATAGATAGATAGATAGATAGATAGATGTTATGTTCATGTAAATTATATTTAAAAAATAATTACACAGGATAGACAAGCATATCTTCAACATACAAGTATGTAATGAATTTAAATACATACATATATATATATATATATATATATATATATATATATATATATATATATATATCTGATTGAATGCATTACAAACATATGACTGGAATTCCAGCATGAAAGAAAAATTTTCATAATGGATAACTTTTCACGTTCTAATGAACAATAAAGCATAACTGTCAGCTGTAGAATTTAAACGCAAAAGAAAAAAACAGTAATAGATAGCTACACATAGTTTTTGCCTTACTCGTTGCAGCCCTGATGAACGCTATTTTAAACGAAGAAATGGAAAATAAGTGGTAAATAAAAATGTCTCTCACTGTTGCAATGCATTTCTTGCCAATATTCAATTGTAATATACGAAAATTATTCGTGAATATGAAAGGATTATGTTAAAAATAAGCAGGCATAGTGCTCCTTATTTATTTAATCAGACAAACCTAAAAGAGAATATACTGCCTAAATACACGCCATATATATATATACACACACAGATATATATATATATATATATATATATATATATATATATATAAATGACAAAAGTATAGTTTTAAAAGATGCTATATTTATTGGCTAGAAGTGCTCAACATAACAGTTAGAACTATACATACAATTCTGAGATACAATTATTTACACAGAATAGCATTTATAAGAATTTGTAATATAACTGTTATCACCTGCACTATAACTTTTAGGCTAATACAATAAATTAAAAGTCACTGAAATTACTACATATAATGCCCCATTGTCTAAATAGTCGAGCCGCGACACAACACACATAGATTGAATATTTTGTTCAGTTATAACTGAATCACAAATCGGTATTGAACTTGGTGTCCACATTTATATATACACACACACCAAAATGTATCTTTGTGGCGGGTCATTGTTTTTGTTCACATGTAAAAATCTATAATAAACAATTATTGCTCTACTTTTTGTATTGCTCACATTTTGAATTAATGCTGTGAACACATTAGAATTTACATTATTCTCGTTCTCATTATATATATATATATATATATATATATATATATATATATATATATTTGGTTGGATAGATGTGAGTTTGTGACCCTGGGTTTCACGCTTTAGCGATCGTCAGACAAACCCGCATATAATATATAAATAATTATACATATATATATTTATTTATATTTATATTCACTTTTCACATATATATTTATATATATATATATATATGATAAGACATTTTTTATGTTTATACGTTCTTTTTATAGATACAAATATTTAAGTAAATGCTCTGCTTATGATAAACAGTATTAACGACATTTACCGTCCTGAATGTCCGAGAAATTTTCATAGGCCGGTAAATGTTGTTTAATACTGTTTATAATAAACATCCCTGTTTATAAATTCCATAACTGAGGATGTCTGTAGGAACAGACGAAAGCTTGTAAAAACTAAAAAAAGACCTTATGAAACTGGAATTTATAAACAGGGATCATATCATTCATATACAGGTTCGGGGTTAGTGTACCTTATTGAAATTATTTGCGAAGATGTATTCTCGCCATTTATATCATTAACCTCGATATTTGTTTTTTGTATGAATGATTCATGTAATTATATATATATATATAGAGAGAGAGAGAGATAGATAGATAGATAGATAGATAGATAGATTAGGATATTACATCAAAAACATTTGTCAACTGGTATAAGATTATGAATTGGGAGATCATGTGAATGTGGTGTGTGATTGTCAACTGCAGTGAGACTGTGAACTGTGTGATCTTGTGAGCTTGTTATGCGATTAAAATTATTCAACATTTATCTTTCATCTCAAACAAGACATGAACGATGCACACCGAAAAACCGGTCATAGCGTGGCCATAATTTACATAACTACGATTATATACCATCATCCATTTGTCAAATCTTCCAATGTATAGTCGTGTATTTTCACTTCTGTGCTATGAATCATAAAACTATCACTCATTGACCCTCTGCATCGAATCGCTCTTAATATAATCAAACTATCTTTCAGATTACATATCGTTTTTAGAGATTCTTCGAATCTGTCATCCATCATGAATTAAAGAAATGACATATGAAGAATATTACAGAATTTGTCTTTGAAATATTCTTTCTGAAATGTAAAAACACTTAATTCTCATGAAACACAAAACACCTGCTTTTCTCAAATGTTATCTTAAATTTTCATAATTATTTTTTCTCCAAAATAAAAAAATCATAAAATAAGTTCTGTTATCAATATTCTGAACATTCAATATCAATTCTTCCATGCTACGAAACGACAAATTCTTCATTTTTTAAACGAAATGTATATGTTGCCACAGTCGGAATATATCAGCTTTCTTGAACTACAGAAATGATTTGGTCTAAGAATAGTTAAGATTAACTTAGTCTGTGGCAAGATTTAGATTATATGTATGAAGATTGTATTGCGCCAAGCTTCAAACTGCGATTGGCCTGCTTGCTTTGAGAATAGAATTTCGGAACTTGTACGTTTTACATTGACGCGAATATTAATCTAGGAGAGAACTTTACAAATGTCTCGTTCACCAAGCAGGCCCTACTCGTGTTAGTGAAGAAATTCAAGTTTACACTGATATGAAAACAAACGATGAAAACAGATGTGGACAAAGATTATGTAGCCCCAATCTTTCAAAAGAAAATCGACTGTCTTGAAAAACGGTATTCGTAATTCTTACTTTTGCACAGTGTTACTTGAAAACGTACAAGAAATTCTATTACAATGGTTTGTCAAAATCGAAAACCCCCAGACGATAATGGAGACTCATAACGGAAATGGGAAAAACGGTCTGAACCGAAGAAAGACGTAAATTATCAACGATAACAATGAAGTCTAGTTAGTTTCCATCAATTAAAGAATTTTGCACAAAAAATACCTAATATTGAATGCCCGACCTGCACTAGGGTCTAACAAGGCATGAGAAAAGGTACAGTGGAAGTGATAATGATCAGAGTCAACTTCCACCAGCCTGGGATTATTTCATATGCTAGAAATGCAGATGGCTGGCGTTATAAGCCACTGTCGTTCATACAACCGATGAATGCAGTGTTGTGTGTGTGGAGGTTAACTAAAGAGCTGGACATGTCAATGATGATTATACTCGTTTGTGAGTCGTTTGTATATATATATATATTAATTTAAATAGGGACCAAACAACCAATGGACCATTATAACTGTCTGTTTTCTATTTAAGTTAATAATTGCTCTGATAGGACTTTGAGCTATCTATATTATATTCTCCTTGTGATTATCCATACGGATTACCAAACTTTTCACTATATAGCTGCTACTGTGGTTTTATCGCACGCAGTAAATGTTATGGGGTCCACCCCTTTTTCATATAAGTGGACTCTACCAGTGTACCTGGACTGCTGCCGTTAAATACCCAGAGTTACAGTCAGGGAGAGTAGTCGGATAGTGAGAGGGTAGTCGAAAAGAAAGAGAGAATATACGAACGGAGATATTGTGAGGTAACCTCTTGTAGAAATCAGTTACAAGCACGTAGACTCTAAGGGAGTCCTACTTCGAGTCTGTATATATCTATCTGTATTTGCTACTAACCGCGTTCCTGGACTTACTAACAGTATTACCCTTTGTATGATTGTGTAAATACATTTTTATTTCTTATATTTAATTATTTCGTTTGTTCTTCATTGAGACCAAATTCATCTCGAATCCACAACAGTAAAGCCGGCCTTACTGCCCATATATATATATATATATATATATATATATATATATATATATATATATATATATATATATATAAAAGGCTCAAACAGTAATAAATAATTTATAACATTGAAATCGTAATCACGATCCAATTCATCAGGCCTACAAATTCAAGTTCTGATGAATTGGATCGTGATTACGATTCCAATGTAATAAATTATAACCATATAACTATAGAATATTAGTGTTTGAGCCTTTTCTATTATATTCTTACTCTGTCCTGGACATTGAGTTCTACCTGGATTCTATCCTCTTGGGAATTTATATATATATATATATATATATATATATATACAATATAATATTATCAACAGAAATTGTCACACCGGCATCGGCCTCTACAGTCACAGATATATTTTTATCGAAACAATTGTCCTGTGACTGGTAATAAGACAAATTACTAAGGGAATTCGATTATTGCTTTTCTGCGCCAATAGTAATCTAAAATAAAATAACATTCTTAGACCTTGAAAGAATTTGAACCATGACCGAACATTTAACTTTCTTAATCTCTTGCAACATCCCTTATCCACACAAGCATTGAAATGTTTATAGATAAACGATTTCTTTTGTTGCTGAATCGACACCATTGTTCTTTAGAAATTAATGTAAATTGTTTATTTTATTGATTCTCTTTTGTTGTACAATTCATTCGGTGATTCAAAACTTTCTTCAAAAAGATTGATAATAGAACTGATCAATTGCTTGGGAAAAAAACAAATAATTTCGCTTTTCAAAGTAACACTCAGCCAAAGAATTCAAGGCGGAACAAAAAGGACTCAAAGAATTTTCATAATGAAATGAAATATGAGCGACACTTTTGCTTTCTCCCTGGATTGGTTTAGAAGTTGGTATTTGCCGGTGGGGGTGAGGCATGGCAGGCAGATTTTCTAGAGCTGAGTGTTCTGTGAAAACCGTTTTGTACTAAATTCAACTTTTCTTTTCCTTTTCCTTTTGTCATGATTATCATTTCCAATGCTTTAATGTAAATCGTAGAGCAATTTTAATTTGATTGCTCATCTATTTATCATGAATTGTTTTAAGAAAGTTTATGATAAATTTTATAATTTTTATAAAACAAATTTTTATTTATAGTCGAAATATAATTAAAATATTATTAAATAATTAAGTTTTCAACCATCTTCAGAGAACATTAATGAATAACTGAAAATCTTTTCTGATCT